GTGGCAAACTCGCAATCAACTGGCCCGCAGAGCCCGCAGTTGCTGCTGCTGTTGCCGTTGCTGTTGTCGTTTTGCCATATTTGTCGGCACCTTTTGTTCTTCTTTATTAAAAAGGCGAATAATCATAATAAAGAACCAACAACGTTGTTGCTGCTGTTGTTGTTGCTGTTGTTGTTGTCGTCCATTTAGCCACTGAGTTTTGGATGAGCAGCCGCAACCGCCAAGCGAGTTTTTTGCTGCTGCTCGAGCTTGGCTCTGGGCCTGGGCTTTGGGCTCGGGCCTCTCAGCAGCTCGTTCGGTAGCTGCTAGACTTGGACATTAATCGATAACACTTGAGTATTTTTTCATGTTTCGCAGGCGAGCCATTAAGCGATTGTCCACCTCAAGTTGTTGTTGTTGTTGTTGCTGTTGCTGCTCGCTCGCTGTATATTTAGTGAAATAAAATGTGTGTCTGAATGTGTTGCTGCTCTTTAGCCTAATCTAGTTTAACAGTTCGATTAGATCCACATAATCATTCAAAATACATTTATAAATATCAATCGAGCAGTTAGACGACATAAACAGCTGAATAGATGCTCCATTAGAATTGATTGAGGAATTTGATTTGCTTTGCGTTCGGCGAATTTTGTATTTTCTCTAGGGGGAAAGCAATTTCCATAGTCGCTTTTTTTTTATTTATTTAGATATCATTAAAGACTTTTTTCTCTAGCTATCTCTGTATAACTGTTCCATAACATTACCAGACATCTATCTGTATTATGTTTGTATTGAACTGTATTTCTTAGATGCTTATCTGGCACTAATTTGCTTTGACTATCCATCTTAATTATATGGGGGGGCTATATATATTTATAGTATCTTGAAACACATCTGTGGCATCTATTATCTATTTGTCTATCGTTCTTTCATATCGGTCTATATCTATCACCCTATGCCACATAGCATATGTGCAGATAAAAGTGTTTATATATGTATATTTATTATTTTTGTTATCTATGTAGATGTCCTATCCAATTGATCTATATAATTATCTGTCCTATCTGTATGTTTTATCTAACTATTTATTTTATATTTATTATTTATCTGCAAATATATTTTATCTACCTTATCTATCACCCCACATATTATTCATATGTGTTTTCTTTTTTCTATTTGTCTTGTATAATTATATATTATTATATACACAGAAATGTACATAATATCCATCTGTCATGTCCATATCTTCTATCTATCTATTATCTGGCAAACTGTTTTATCAATCGTCTTCTAGATCCTTTAAATACCCCTTAGTACGAGGCTTTGATTTGGGAACTCATTTACCATCTCCTTTATATTTCTCCAGTTCGCCTCAGCTTATGCATAAGACTCTACATGAGTTTTGATTTGTGATCATCATGATTTTCTTAGTATTATTCAAGCTTCTCTGAGATATCACTCAAATATCGTTTCTTTACTCCGTAGCGCACTCAGCTGTCTGTGTGGCTGCCTCTCTTCGCAATTTCGGACGATTCTCTGTCTTTTACTGCTCTTTTCCCTGTCAATGTGACATTGGGAGCTGCTGCTGCAGCCGCTATATTTCGTACCTACGTACGCATTGCCGATTCCTGCTGCCTTTTGGCCAGTTCCCCGACTCCCTGACTCCCTGACTCCCTGCTCGACTGTCTGACTGGTTGCCTGCTTAATGAAATTCAAGTTAAAGCGTTAATGATGATACCAGCAACTGGGCTTCGTTCCCCAAGTCAATAATATCCCTTTCTCTCTCTCTCTATCTCTCTCTCTGTCTCGCTGGCTTTTTCTGGCCATTCCCGATAGCCGATGTCGCGGACTGCGCCTGTTTATAGTCAACACTCGGCAATTACTAAAAGACAAATTTATTTGCACGCATGCATATGATGCGGGTTTCGACTCGATTCCGACTCTGGGGTCTCTGGCTACTGTGCTGTGTGTGTGTTTTTCAGCGACTCTGTTCGTCGGCGACGTGGACAAGTGTTAAGCATAATGCAGACACACTTAGATCTGTCTTGAGCGGGCAGCAGCAGGAGTAGGAGTGGGGGTAGGGGTAGGGGCAATGGTAGGGGCAGAGGCCTTAATTGAAGTGCGGCCGCGTCGCCTCATTGGCGTTAAGTGTCGATAAATTAAGCATACGCAATGTGCGCCCGCCCGAACTACAGCCCCACACACACACATACACACACACACATACACACACACACATACACAGCTCTCAGCTCTCAACTATGGACTATCTATCTTTTGATCTGTGAACGCAGCTACTGTCGGCCGTCGATTTTTATGAATGAGCCTTTTGGCCTCAGCGTTCCGTTGAGAAATTGTGAAAGGCATTTCTTGTCTCTGCGCATAAATTTCTGTTAATTTACAGCGCATAAAAATCAACACAAAACATTTTATGTTAATGAAAATAAAAGTGGAGCCAGGTGAAAGCCCCAAACAGCAGCTACTGCATCTGCCTCAGCCTCAGCCTCAGTTTCTGCTTCAGCCTCAGCCTCTGCCTCCGCGCCTGCCTCTGCTTTAGCCTCTGTATCATCATCATCATCAAACAGTAGCCAAAAGGCCCTCACAGGCTCTGGCTCTGATTCAGCAGCTACCCAAAACACAGATCTCAGCCGGATAGCCGGACAATTAATGATCATCGAGCCGAGCGACTAATGAGCATCATTTGTACCGATCCAAGCCTAGAACAGCGCTCAGCCTGAGAACCAAACAGGCATACATACATACACATATATATATATATGTTGTTGACCCGCCTGTCGAAAAGTTTGGCTTTTGGCTGAAATACGTTTCACAGTGCGTTCCGAAGACGCCTAAGTCGCAAAGCCTGACAAATCGAGACTCGAAACGATACTTGAAAGCATTATAGAAGCGTGAAAGCGGGCTTAATGCATGATTAGAGCCATTAAAGTGGACTTAAGGCAATAAAACTGTTCACGCTCGGCTTTAATATAATGTTAGGGGAGGGCACCAGGCGCAAAAGCTCTCTCTGCGAAATGTCACAAAAGAAAACCAAGTACCTTGTGAGCTAATATTTTTATCATAATATTAACTTATTGAAACTCTATTTTCATATTGAAAATGAACTTGCAATTGAATAAAGCTCATTGAAAGTTGAGGAATATCTGAAAAGCTTACGGATTTGCTGTCTTTATAAGATAAGCTGTAAGTACTAGGCTAGTCGTACTAGGCTTAAGCTGATGTGAGTATAAGGCAAGACAAGACAATGCCAGACAAGTCAAGACAAGACACAGACACAGAAAGCTTTGACAAGCACTGCAATTTTTCTGGTATCCGAGAAAGAAATATTTTGACAAAATATCCCAACAATTTGTTGTAAAAATTGCTTCAGATATTGAAGTACTTGGATTAATGAAATAAATCTATAATAATCAATTTCATTCATTTAAGCAAAGCTTGAATAACTTTTGCTTCAAGCTTTGCCACACAAGGGATTTTGTAGATCTTTGAGTGAATTCTTAAGCAGCTTTCTTGAAATCTCTAAAAGCTTTACTTGGCTGAAACAGAGCTTTAATAAGTCTCTTAAAGCTCTTCGAATCAATTGCTTGAAATTTGTGAATGAATTTGCTGAGCCTGAGGCATTGCTTATCGCAGATCTACTTGGCAATGGATCACAGATCACAGATCACTGATCACAGATCACAGATCACAGATCACAGATCACAGATCATGGATCATGGATCAGCGCAGCTAGTGCAATGTGTGTGTGTGTGTGTGTGTGTGCTGGTGTGTGTGTCATAAAAGTGAGTGCGTGTTACAGCATCGAAATGCGAGGTGTTTGATGTTGGCCGCTATCTTATCGGGACGTAAGTAGCCGAGTGCCTGGCCGGGCCGGGCCCGTCACACCATTAACTTTGTTTTATAACTTAATTTTTGTTGGGGCACTCAGAGCGGCGGGGCGAAAGCAACAAATCGACACTTGTTTAATATTTAAATTTAAATTTTGATTATAATTTGTTGTCTTTGCGTTGCGTTTGCTTTTCGTTTCAATTCGTTCGTTTTGTCTCTTTTCCTTGCCTCGCCTCGCCTTTCCTTTCCTTTGGCTCTCTTCATGGGCATTTTAATGAATGAAAACGGGGTCTGTGTGTGGGCACAGCCCCAGCCGGTGGCTCCAAGACGTGACCACCACACGCTGTGCTGCTGCTGCTGCTCTGCCTCTTCTTCTGCTTCTTCTTCTTGTTTTATGGCACTTGGACTAGGCCGGATAAGCAGCAACAGGGGCAGCATCTATTTAAGTTCTTTGCTTAATTAACGAAAGGAAAACGCAAAGCGTAGCGAAGAATGGGACATAAAAATTAATTAGCAGCACCAAAAAAACAACAACAACAACAACAACACCAAAAATCAAATGCATGAAAAACTCCAACTTCAACTCAAACGCGCGTCCACATATGGGCCAACTGAGGCAGGTGGGCGCTGGGGCCCAGGTAGGCGCTGTGCGCATACGTGCTGGGTGGGCGTGGCTGATTATCAATGGGCTGGCCCAGCACGTTCAACGCCTGAGATTGATTCAAGCTAAAAATGACTCGACCAGCGGATAAACAGCCGAAACAAGCCAAATCAGCTTGGCCATTGAAACGGGTCTAGAATAGTGGAGAATACTCCGCTGAGACTTTATCAATACTAAATGCTCAGCTTTATACTAGCCGAAGCTGGCATCCAATTCAGGGAACTAGAACATTTTGATCAAACTTAGTTAATTCTAAAACCAAAATAAACATCTCAGAGACACTTAGTAACTCTCAGAGACCAGGGATCTATCGGAAGACCTCAGCAAGCTCTGAGCTAGCGCATTGATTGATTGAAGTTGTTGAATGGAAGGTATAAGACTTAGCTCTTTAGCCAAACAGCAATAGATCCTACAGACTACATAAACTAGACATATAGACTATACAACCATCAAAAATTCCTTAAGGTCTAACTCAATTTGGCCTAGGATCCATTGAAAAACTGATCCGCCAAAAGACACTTACAGATTATGGCTCTACAAATGGATCTGGAACATTTTGATCTAACTTAGTTAACTCTAAAATCAAATTGAAAGAAGTCACAGAGACTAGCTGAACAATTGAAGCTGATTGAAAACCAAGGATCTATCGGTAAGCCTCAGCAATCATACATTGATTGAAGAAGATGAATGGAAGGTATGTATATGATATATATATATATAAGGTATATAAGACTTTACTCTCTAGCCAAACAGCAATAGACCCTATAGAATCAATAGACTAGATTTATAGACCTTACAACCATCAACAATTACTTGAGGTCCAACTCGCCTTAGTTTAGGATCCATCGGATCAGGCATTTGTTGATTGTGGCTCTACAAATGGAACCGCTTAGAGCTAGTCGTATTCAATATTTTGAGCTCGAAGCTGGCTCACGCTACATCAAATTGGAATTCATTCACCAAATGAGCTGCGTTTGTAATCAAATTACGTGCCCATTGCCTGGTCTGCTCTGCCCCTCTCTCTCTCCCTCTACCTCTACCTCTAGCTCCCTCTCTCTGTGTGATTGATTTTTATTATTATTATTACTATTTGTATTTCTCTCTTGCTGCTCATAATTAAGTGTAAATTTATGCAAATTTCTATCAATGAGGTTTAGTCAGTTGGGCCCACCGAAAATTTTCGATACGTTCGCCCGCCCCCGAAGCAGGTCGATTTACCTGTTTCTCTCTGTTTCTCTCTGTTGTTTCTTGATTGCTTTTTTTTTTTTTCGTTGATTGAGGAAATTGTCGACGTTTGTCGTTTGTTCCAAATTGGCAGCTAATCAGTGGGCTAAATGCAACGGAAATCCCAAAAAATGTATGCCATATGCATAAGTAGACGTTCAGACTGAATGAGAGGGGTGCGCAGGGGATGGGGTAAGTGTAGACCATCACTGTGGGCTTCAGCCCACAATTTCCGTGCGCTATGCTAATGCCCAATCTATTTAGGTGGCCCAAAGGAAAGTCCATAAGCCGTCGAGATCCGAAACAAACACAGTCGAAACAAAAGCAATGCCCGAAAGACGTTAATTTATAAGGTGGCCGAGCGGCAAGCTGTGTCTTTGGGGCCCAAAACAGCTTTTGGGGCCGAGCATCAGTTGCCCATCAAAGCCATAAAAATGTGCGTTAATAACATTGCCGCCAAAGTAAACTTGGCAATAAAATGGCAGATTCATGTGACGATGACGATGACGATGACGACGATGGCGATGGCGATGGCGACGGCGCTGCTACCGACGCGTTTGGTGGGAAATACGAGCCTGGCTATAAGTATAACAACGACAACAACGACAACAACGACAACGTCAACGACGACAACGTCAATGAGCCTGCTGCTGCTGCTGCTGCTGCTGCCTCTGCTTGCAACTTGCGGGGCAATAAAATTTACGTGCCATAAATTTCCACACAAGGCTGAAGCTGAGGCTGAAGCTGAAGCCGAAGCCGAGGCTCGAGCTGTGGCTGCAGCAGCGGCTTTTGTAGATTCGCATTTATGCGTTTAATGATAAAGAAGAACGCAAACGACTTTGACTTCAGCTTGCAGCTCCCTCTCTCTCTCTCTCTCTCTCGCTCTCCCCCTCTCTCTTTCTCTCAGTCTCCCTGTGTGGAGTATTGCGTCTGCGTAGCGTGCTGGCAGCAGTAGCTGGCGAATGGCTAGCTTAAGTGCCGCATTGCGTTTCCTTCTTGTTGTTGTTGTTGTTCGTGAATCGCTTGCGGCGCTACCGCTGGGGTGCTACCCCTACCAAAAATGTGGCCACACAGGCGACACAAACAACACTTGGTGGTCTCTCTCTCTTCCTCTCTCTCTCTCTCTTTCTTACTTTTCCTCTCCGTCTCCTTGGATCATAAACAACATCAGGACTAATCTGGCGCTGAAATACACTCAGGTACCCTTTAGCTAGGTAGATACCCTTTAGCTGGGTAGATATCCTTTAGCTAGGCGGAGACTACCGGACTTGCTCCCAGCTTAGAGCCCACCTTTGCTAGCTCGCTTCATAGATTCCTTTATATACCCCTCTATGGATGCCTTTATAGATACCTTTATGAATCCCTCTAAAGATCCCTTTATGGATCCCTTCATAGATCCCTTTATATTTCCCCTTATGGATCCCTTCAAAGATCTCTTCATAGATCCCTTTATGGATCCCTTTGAGGACCCCTTTATGGATCCTTTTGAGGATCCCTTTATGGATCCCTTTATGGATCTCTTTATGGATCCCTTCAAAGATCTCTTCATAGATCCCTTTATGGATCCCTTCATAGATCCCTTCATAGCTCCCTTCATAGATCCTTTCATATATCCCTTTATGGATCCTTTCATAGATTCCTTAAAAATATCTCATATCTTTCTTTTTATGCCTTCTTACCCCTCAGCTCATACATTGCCATATGTAGTTCCCTTCTACCCACAGTCAACGCAAATTTCCTAGCTTCAAGTGGACGTCGGGGAACCTGACTTAAGCAACTAGACTATATCTGAGAGCTGCTATCTATCAGCTTAGGAGTTTGTGTATAACAACTGCAGCAGATCTTAGGTAGAGCTGCCTTAGAATTGACCTTACCCTTGATCAATTGGCTCATTATCTCGCCCTCTCTCTCCCTCTCCCTCTCCCTCTCTCTCTCCCTCTCTCTCTCTCTCTCTTTTTAAAGGCTAATTAACAAGTCTTGCATAGTATTGCAAATGCATCAAATGCGCACGCGCAACTGGAATTGTCGCTGGCGATGGGAAAGGCGATTGCTGCCACACAATTGGCGTCGATTTGGTGGCAAGATTCAGCCAGCCGACGGCACGCACCTCACCATGCAAAGCAGCAACAAGAGCTTGTTACAAAACAGTCCAAAAGGACAATTCGACAGCTGCTGCAACGACGACGACGACGACGACGACGACGATGGTGGCTGAGCCGGCGCCTCATTGCTCTACCTCTCTCCTGATGTGCGCCTCGATTGTAGCGGCGCTGCTTGAAGATGAATGTGTGTCGTTGTCTGTTGTCGTCTTGGCGTCTTGGCGCTCGTTGCCAGCCTTGTCAGCTCTTGTATTTTGTATGTAATTGGCTTGGCTCTTAATAGATGGGGCGCATGGGTCGCACTGCCGGCGTCACCTGTCGCCTACTGTGGACAGAGCAGATTGTAGTTAACTTGCGGGTACAGCAACAGCAACAGCAACAGCAACAGCAACTGCCTGGCGACGAAGACAACTACAACAACTACAACAGCAGCAACAGCAGCAACAACAACAACAACTTCGGCATCGGCAACCAAAAAGCCAAAGACATTTGCAAATCTTTTGTTTCTCATGTCCGATCATTTCTCATATAGGCGAGCAGGCGACGACAAGAGCCCCAGACCCAGGTCCAAGACGACGACAAAGGCATACCGCAGGCGCCAGGCCCCAAAAACAAACAACCAGACAGCCAGACAACGACGACGACGACGACGGCGACGACGACGACGGCGACGACGACGACGGCGACGACGACGACGGCGACCAGCGTCCAGCTCGAAAACGAGCTCAAAAACGAGCCGGAACGCAGGCTGAGCGCGGGTTGAAGGAAATTTGTTCGTCTTTTATTTTGTAGATTCTTCTTTTTTTTCTCGATTTTTTGGCTTGGCTATGCATTCAGAGAAACGACGCACGAGCTGCCACAGAGCCAGCCGACAAGAGCTGAGCGCCAGGCAGGCAGGAGACAGGAGGCAGGAGACAGGCGGCTGCAGTCGTGGCATTGTCTTTGCCCGAGCGACATTCAAATCTTAACTTGAAATCAACGGGCGAACGAGCGAACGGGCGAACTGGCGAACGGGCGAACGCCAGCGCCAAACAAATTCGAGCTGCCAAAATAATAAGCAGCGAGCGCAGCAGCCTCCTCGGGGCGCCCTTAGACCCGGGGCCCAGGCCCTGCCGTCCAGTGGCAGGCGCTGCTAAGTTTTATGGACCCTCCACTGGGCAAGGAGACAAATGCGTCGTCGTCGTCGTCGTCGTCGTGAAGGTCGAACGGCTAACGCCAGTCTCTGGTCTCTGGTCTCTGGTCTCTGGTCAGCAGTCGTTGCCGGAGCTGGCGTTGGAGGAGTGGGTAGGGTCAGGCTACCCAAAGAAGCTGCTGCGGCGCACCGTAGCGCTGTAGATAAGAAATTTTTGCTGAAAACTCGTGCGCGCGCAAAAAGGAAGCGACAGCAACATTTTTTTTTTCTTTTTCTTTTTTATTATTATTATTTTGGAACGACGACGACCGGTTTCATATTGATGACGACGATTTTGGCGAATGAGGCCTGCCTGCTGCCTGCATAAACTAAGCTTGCCATGAGAAACAGCAAGGGGCAAGCGAACAGAGCCAGAGACAGAGACAGAGACAGAGACAGAGAAACAGAATCAATTCCCAGTCTCAGTCTCAGTCTCAGTCTCAGTCTCAGACGTAGACCCCATTCAGGCCCAGCGCGTCTCGGTTATGTTTTTGCTTCTCTTGTGTTTGATTTTTTTCTTTCTTCTGTTTTGGCATACAAATTGGCTAAGAACGGCGTCGGTAGCGGCGCATTTTAGATGGCTATCAGTAAATAGAACACAAATGAAATTCATCGATAGAAATCGAAATCGCAACAGCAACAGCAACGGGGGCGGTTGCTACAAATCAAAAAAGAATAAGAGAAGAGAAGGAGTAGAAGAAGTAGGAGGAGGAGGTAAAGGAGGTGGAAGAAGAAGAGGTGGAGGAGGTAGAGGAGTAGTGGGCAAAAGGGGTATGAACCACGGTCCGTTAAAAAGCATTCAGAGGCAGACAACGTTGTCGTTGTCGTTGTTGTTGTCGCTGTTGCTGTCGCTGTTGCTGGTGTCGTGGCAACCATGTGATGGAGTACACATGTTGCCGTGCACTTCTTGGCTGGCACGACAGCAACAGCAGCAGCAACAGCAGCAGCAGCAACCGCAGCAGCAACCGCAACAGCAGCAGCAGCTCAGCCAGTGGGCGGCCCCAACGTGTTTGACCTTTGCACCAGGCA